AAGTTGCACCTTATATTAAATTCCAGGAACATCACCACAGTAGAAGTTGTCAAAGAGACATAAGAGGACAATCAATTTGCCGTTTTCATATACCATATCCACCTATGCCTGAAACGAAAATACTTTTACCATTTCCCGAAAACACAGACAAAATTGAATTGAAAACTCACAAAGAAAATTTTAATATTCCTGAAGATTCCACAAACGTTTTTCAAACAAATCTACTAGATTATTATATTGCACGTCCAAATGAAATGCAAGATTATTGCCTTGCTTATTTCGCCGCTTTTTATAAATTTTCAAAATCAAGGTCATCAAGAAATCGTCGAGGTCAAGAAGAAGAAGATGACTACAATGAAAATAATGATTTCAACGATGAAAATAATGATAGAAATAATAAGTACATTAAGCTAATGGACGGGTCTGGATATGTCTACAAAAAAGAAAACCCTGCAATAATAAGGTTTCCCTCATTTAATGCGGATTTAAGTAGAGAAAATTATTTTCGAGCACTCGTAATGTTATACATGCCTTGGAAAAATGAAAAGGATGATATCTTGGATAATGACAATGAAGCAACTTGCAGAGTTCATAAGAATATTATTGAAAGAAACAGATCAGTTTTTGAAAAATATAAAGAAGGTGACCTCGAAGAAATACTTCAACAAATACAGGATGATAATAGAATGGAAAATGAAAACCAGCACGACAATAGAGCTGTAACTCAACTACTCGATGATGAATTCAGAGCTTTGGCTGTTCCAGAAGTAGATGACAATATAAACATTATTGACACTAATGATGATTATATTAACACTGATGAGAACAACGATGGCATTAGATTGATCAGACTATAACCTTTAATAAGTACTGAAAGTCTATTGTCTTCGGTAAGGACTTTAAATACGAAGCAACTTAAATACCTGCATCATATTTTACAAAATGTTGTAGGAAAACGTGAAGTTTTGTGAGTATGTAGGAGGAGGTGCCAGAGTTGGAAAGAGTCGATTAACAAAAACGATTTACCAATCTATTACTTATAGATATAATTCCATTCCTGGATCCAATCCTGATTTACCCAAAGTCCTGTTAAGTGCTCCTACTGGGAAAGCTGCTTTTGGAATTGGTGGAGCGACTCTTCATTCACTCTTTTCATTACCAGTCAATCAGTACTCAGGAGAAATTCGTCCTCTTAGTAATGATACAGTTAACACACTTTCATCGTTACTCTTAGAGTTGAAATTATTGATAATTGATGAAATTTCAATGGTTGGAGCAAGAATGTTGGGTTACCTTGATGCTCGATTAAAGCAAATTTTTAAGAGTACTGAGCGTTTTGGTGGAATTTCCATTTTAGTTTTTGGGGATTTAAAACAATTACCTCCTGTTGGCGATAAATGGATATTTAGCCCCAACTCATCAAATCCTTATGAAGTTATTGTAGGAGATCTACTTTGGAACCAATTTAAGTTTTATGAACTGACTGAAATTACGAGACAAAGGGAAGATCGGGAGTCTGCCCAAGCATTAAACTCAATGTTAAAAGGTGAAATGAATAATGAAGAAGTACAATTAATAAAATCAAGGGTCGTTGATTCTAATTTCAATTTTTCGAATGAAGCAATTCATTTATTTTGGTCAAATGCCGAGGCTGATCAATACAATGAATTAAAATTCAAAAATTGAGTTAGAAAGATTACAGTTAGAACGCTCACTTACACTCCAGCATAATTTTGTACATAATGATGAATATAATCTAAAATTATTTTATCAAAATATTCAGAGCATTAATGCGCACCATAAGGATATATCTACTGATCCCACAATAATGGAAGAAGATATTTTATGTCTAGTAGAAACATGGGCCTTTCCGGAAGAAATTCAAGCAATCTAATTGCTAAGCTAATTAGATTGTTTCAATGCTGAAGACGAAGAAAGATCCAGAAACAAAAGGGGAATATCAGTTTATGTTAAAACTGGAAAAATATCGGATGTAAACTAATTATTTAAATATGATCATGTTCTGGGATATTCATTTCAATATATTGCTTTCCGATATCAAAACGTTTATATAATTACATTATATAGGAGCCCCTCGTTTGCCGAAGGCCTCTTTAGATTATTCTTAAAGCAAGCTATCGATCAATTGAAGACACACATTAGATCAGAAATTGACAAAATCCTTATTATAGGCGATTTTAATAACTGTCGCAATACGGATCCTAATAGTATAACCGAGAGAATATTGACAGAAAGAGGACTTATATCGCATCTACAACCGACAACACCAACTACAAAACATGGAACACATATTGACTGGGTTTTATCAAATATACCATTTATCCGACAATCCTCAGCCATCATGATGGTATATTATTAGCCACATAGTGGTGCATATTTTTACCCCCTTATTCACAAACAACATTTTTATTTTATAAAGGGTTTATAAAACAAAATTTCCATACAAAATCTAATTTATAAACCGTTTATAAAATAAAAATTTCGTTTGTGAATAAGGGGATTAAAATTTTGTGTTGTTTTGCAAATTAAGTTTATAATAACGTATATTATAAGGAATTTTTAAAGATGTAACATAAGTGTTAATAAAATATCATTGATTAGATTAATTTTATAATATAAATTTTTATACCCACCATCAAAAAAGATGGGTGGTATATTGTTTTTGTCATTCCGTTTGTAACACATCGAAATATTCATCTAAGACCCATAAAAGTATATATATTCTGGATCCTCATTAAATTCTAAGACGATCTAGCCACGTCCGTCTGTCTGTCCGTCTGTTGAAAACACGATAGAGTCCAAACGGAAGCAGCTAGCGAGCTGAAATTTTGCACAAATATTTTATATTGATGCAGTTTGTTTGGTATTGGGCAATATCGGTCCACGATTTCGCCTAGCCCCCTATAAGGTCCCCCTCAGAAAATGACATTAACGCTCATAACTGACTAAAAGAAGCAGCTATAGCAATGAAATTCGACATAAACATATTTTTTGGAATCTTAGTATCATTGTAAAATTTTATAAGGATCGGTCCATAATTGACCCTATCCCCCATATAAGGTCCCCCTCAGAAAATGACATTAACGCTCATAACTGACTAAAAAAAGCAGCTATAGCAATGAAATTCGACATAAACATATTTATTCTTCACGGCGCAGAGAAGATGAGAACTTTCGTGAGACTGAAAGAATGCGGGATGCTTTAGCACATTCCTCTCGTCGTGAAGATGAGAATGTTCGTGAGTCTGAAAGAGTCCGGGGTGCCTTAGCACATTCCTCTCGTCGTGAAGATGAGGCTTTTCGTGAGACTGAAAGGCTCCGCTATACTTTGGCGCATTCTTCTCGTCGAGAAGATAAGAATGTCCGTGAGTCTGAAAGAGTCCGGGATGCCTTAGCACATTCCTCTCGTCGCGAAGATGAGGCTTTCCGTGAGACTGAAAGGCTCCGCGATGCTTTGGCGCATTCTTCCCAACGCGAAAATGAGAATTTTCGTGAGATTGAAAGGATACGGGATGCTTTAGCACACTCTTCTCGTCGCATGGATCCAACATATCGTGTCATGGAGCAACAGCGGAATACATTAGAACACTCTATACATCGGGAAAATCAAGAGTATAGAGAAATGGAACGTACACGGGATGCTTTGGCGCATATGTCGAGAAGATCGAATCCTATTTTGCGAGTTGCAGAACAACGGCGAAATACTTAATAAATACGAATACTTAATAAATACAGAATTGTATAGAAAACATCAAATTTCCATTTCAGAAGAATGGCTAAATAATGTGGAATTATCTGAGGAAGTTCCTTTTTTGGCGACGCTACGACCGGAGATGTGCACGTGTTGATAAGGTTCTATATTCTTACGAAAAAAAGGTTGGATCCAATAGATATATTGCCAGGGATATGTTAGATGAAAACTACATACATAACCTGGTACAACATGACGAAGGATACCATATACTAAAAGGTATCAGATCTTCTCCGGCTCATTGGGAAGGAGAGAAAAAGAAAGTAATGGCAATGATTCGCCGATTTGGGCTTCCAACCTTATTTATCACTCTTTCTGCAGCAAAATCTCATTGGCCAGAGTTATTAGTAATTTTAGCAAAAGTAGTCGAAGGCAAAGACATAACTGAAGAAGAGGCTATGCTTTACACTACTCAGCAAAAATACAACCTTATCCGCACAGATCCCGTGACATGTTCCCGTTATTTTGATCAAAGGATTCGTCATCTTTTCAAACATTTTAAAGCCAGTGGTGGAGTTTTTGGGGACCATAAAGTAGTAAAATTTTATTGGAGAATTGAGTTCCAACAAAGAGGATCTCCACATGTTCATGGTATATATTGGCTTCAAAATGCACCATCGATTAATTTGAATGATACAAATACTTTTCCGCCCGTGGTAAGCTTCATTGGTAAATATATTACAACCGATTCGAATATACCTGAAGTTGCACCTTATATTAAATTCCAGGAACATCACCACAGTAGAAGTTGTCAAAGAGACATAAGAGGACAATCAATTTGCCGTTTTCATATACCATATCCACCTATGCCTGAAACGAAAATACTTTTACCATTTCCCGAAAACACAGACAAAATTGAATTGAAAACTCACAAAGAAAATTTTAATATTCCTGAAGATTCCACAAACGTTTTTCAAACAAATCTACTAGATTATTATATTGCACGTCCAAATGAAATGCAAGATTATTGCCTTGCTTATTTCGCCGCTTTTTATAAATTTTCAAAATCAAGGTCATCAAGAAATCGTCGAGGTCAAGAAGAAGAAGATGACTACAATGAAAATAATGATTTCAACGATGAAAATAATGATAGAAATAATAAGTACATTAAGCTAATGGACGGGTCTGGATATGTCTACAAAAAAGAAAACCCTGCAATAATAAGGTTTCCCTCATTTAATGCGGATTTAAGTAGAGAAAATTATTTTCGAGCACTCGTAATGTTATACATGCCTTGGAAAAATGAAAAGGATGATATCTTGGATAATGACAATGAAGCAACTTGCAGAGTTCATAAGAATATTATTGAAAGAAACAGATCAGTTTTTGAAAAATATAAAGAAGGTGACCTCGAAGAAATACTTCAACAAATACAGGATGATAATAGAATGGAAAATGAAAACCAGCACGACAATAGAGCTGTAACTCAACTACTCGATGATGAATTCAGAGCTTTGGCTGTTCCAGAAGTAGATGACAATATAAACATTATTGACACTAATGATGATTATATTAACACTGATGAGAACAACGATGGCATTAGATTGATCAGACTATAACCTTTAATAAGTACTGAAAGTCTATTGTCTTCGGTAAGGACTTTAAATACGAAGCAACTTAAATACCTGCATCATATTTTACAAAATGTTGTAGGAAAACGTGAAGTTTTGTGAGTATGTAGGAGGAGGTGCCAGAGTTGGAAAGAGTCGATTAACAAAAACGATTTACCAATCTATTACTTATAGATATAATTCCATTCCTGGATCCAATCCTGATTTACCCAAAGTCCTGTTAAGTGCTCCTACTGGGAAAGCTGCTTTTGGAATTGGTGGAGCGACTCTTCATTCACTCTTTTCATTACCAGTCAATCAGTACTCAGGAGAAATTCGTCCTCTTAGTAATGATACAGTTAACACACTTTCATCGTTACTCTTAGAGTTGAAATTATTGATAATTGATGAAATTTCAATGGTTGGAGCAAGAATGTTGGGTTACCTTGATGCTCGATTAAAGCAAATTTTTAAGAGTACTGAGCGTTTTGGTGGAATTTCCATTTTAGTTTTTGGGGATTTAAAACAATTACCTCCTGTTGGCGATAAATGGATATTTAGCCCCAACTCATCAAATCCTTATGAAGTTATTGTAGGAGATCTACTTTGGAACCAATTTAAGTTTTATGAACTGACTGAAATTACGAGACAAAGGGAAGATCGGGAGTCTGCCCAAGCATTAAACTCAATGTTAAAAGGTGAAATGAATAATGAAGAAGTACAATTAATAAAATCAAGGGTCGTTGATTCTAATTTCAATTTTTCGAATGAAGCAATTCATTTATTTTGGTCAAATGCCGAGGCTGATCAATACAATGAATTAAAATTCAAAAATTGAGTTAGAAAGATTACAGTTAGAACGCTCACTTACACTCCAGCATAATTTTGTACATAATGATGAATATAATCTAAAATTATTTTATCAAAATATTCAGAGCATTAATGCGCACCATAAGGATATATCTACTGATCCCACAATAATGGAAGAAGATATTTTATGTCTAGTAGAAACATGGGCCTTTCCGGAAGAAATTCAAGCAATCTAATTGCTAAGCTAATTAGATTGTTTCAATGCTGAAGACGAAGAAAGATCCAGAAACAAAAGGGGAATATCAGTTTATGTTAAAACTGGAAAAATATCGGATGTAAACTAATTATTTAAATATGATCATGTTCTGGGATATTCATTTCAATATATTGCTTTCCGATATCAAAACGTTTATATAATTACATTATATAGGAGCCCCTCGTTTGCCGAAGGCCTCTTTAGATTATTCTTAAAGCAAGCTATCGATCAATTGAAGACACACATTAGATCAGAAATTGACAAAATCGTTATTATAGGCGATTTTAATAAATGTCGCAATACGGATCCTAATAGTATAACCGAGAGAATATTGACAGAAAGAGGACTTATATCGCATCTACAACCGACAACACCAACTACAAAACATGGAACACATATTGACTGGGTTTTATCAAATATACCATTTATCCGACAATCCTCAGCCATCATGATGGTATATTATTAGCCACATAGTGGTGCATATTTTTACCCCCTTATTCACAAACAACATTTTTATTTTATAAAGGGTTTATAAAACAAAATTTCCATACAAAATCTAATTTATAAACCGTTTATAAAATAAAAATTTCGTTTGTGAATAAGGGGATTAAAATTTTGTGTTGTTTTGCAAATTAAGTTTATAATAACGTATATTATAAGGAATTTTTAAAGATGTAACATAAGTGTTAATAAAATATCATTGATTAGATTAATTTTATAATATAAATTTTTATACCCACCATCAAAAAAGATGGGTGGTATATTGTTTTTGTCATTCCGTTTGTAACACATCGAAATATTCATCTAAGACCCATAAAAGTATATATATTCTGGATCCTCATTAAATTCTAAGACGATCTAGCCACGTCCGTCTGTCTGTCCGTCTGTTGAAAACACGATAGAGTCCAAACGGAAGCAGCTAGCGAGCTGAAATTTTGCACAAATATTTTATATTGATGCAGTTTGTTTGGTATTGGGCAATATCGGTCCACGATTTCGCCTAGCCCCCTATAAGGTCCCCCTCAGAAAATGACATTAACGCTCATAACTGACTAAAAGAAGCAGCTATAGCAATGAAATTCGACATAAACATATTTTTTGGAATCTTAGTATCATTGTAAAATTTTATAAGGATCGGTCCATAATTGACCCTATCCCCCATATAAGGTCCCCCTCAGAAAATGACATTAACGCTCATAACTGACTAAAAAAAGCAGCTATAGCAATGAAATTCGACATAAACATATTTATTCTTCACGGCGCAGAGAAGATGAGAACTTTCGTGAGACTGAAAGAATGCGGGATGCTTTAGCACATTCCTCTCGTCGTGAAGATGAGAATGTTCGTGAGTCTGAAAGAGTCCGGGGTGCCTTAGCACATTCCTCTCGTCGTGAAGATGAGGCTTTTCGTGAGACTGAAAGGCTCCGCTATACTTTGGCGCATTCTTCTCGTCGAGAAGATAAGAATGTCCGTGAGTCTGAAAGAGTCCGGGATGCCTTAGCACATTCCTCTCGTCGCGAAGATGAGGCTTTCCGTGAGACTGAAAGGCTCCGCGATGCTTTGGCGCATTCTTCCCAACGCGAAAATGAGAATTTTCGTGAGATTGAAAGGATACGGGATGCTTTAGCACACTCTTCTCGTCGCATGGATCCAACATATCGTGTCATGGAGCAACAGCGGAATACATTAGAACACTCTATACATCGGGAAAATCAAGAGTATAGAGAAATGGAACGTACACGGGATGCTTTGGCGCATATGTCGAGAAGATCGAATCCTATTTTGCGAGTTGCAGAACAACGGCGAAATACTTAATAAATACGAATACTTAATAAATACAGAATTGTATAGAAAACATCAAATTTCCATTTCAGAAGAATGGCTAAATAATGTGGAATTATCTGAGGAAGTTCCTTTTTTGGCGACGCTACGACCGGAGATGTGCACGTGTTGATAAGGTTCTATATTCTTACGAAAAAAAGGTTGGATCCAATAGATATATTGCCAGGGATATGTTAGATGAAAACTACATACATAACCTGGTACAACATGACGAAGGATACCATATACTAATAGGTATCAGATCTTCTCCGGCTCATTGGGAAGGAGAGAAAAAGAAAGTAATGGCAATGATTCGCCGATTTGGGCTTCCAACCTTATTTATCACTCTTTCTGCAGCAAAATCTCATTGGCCAGAGTTATTAGTAATTTTAGCAAAAGTAGTCGAAGGCAAAGACATAACTGAAGAAGAGGCTATGCTTTACACTACTCAGCAAAAATACAACCTTATCCGCACAGATCCCGTGACATGTTCACGTTATTTTGATCAAAGGATTCGTCATATTTTCAAACATTTTAAAGCCAGTGGTGGAGTTTTTGGGGACCATAAAGTAATAAAATTTTATTGGAGAATTGAGTTCCAACAAAGAGGATCTCCACATGTTCATGGTATATATTGGCTTCAAAATGCACCATCGATTAATTTGAATGATACAAATACTTTTCCGCCCGTGGTAAGCTTCATTGGTAAATATATTACAACCGATTCGAATATACCTGAAGTTGCACCTTATATTAAATTCCAGGAACATCACCACAGTAGAAGTTGTCAAAGAGACATAAGAGGACAATCAATTTGCCGTTTTCATATACCATATCCACCTATGCCTGAAACGAAAATACTTTTACCATTTCCCGAAAACACAGACAAAATTGAATTGAAAACTCACAAAGAAAATTTTAATATTCCTGAAGATTCCACAAACGTTTTTCAAACAAATCTACTAGATTATTATATTGCACGTCCAAATGAAATGCAAGATTATTGCCTTGCTTATTTCGCCGCTTTTTATAAATTTTCAAAATCAAGGTCATCAAGAAATCGTCGAGGTCAAGAAGAAGAAGATGACTACAATGAAAATAATGATTTCAACGATGAAAATAATGATAGAAATAATAAGTACATTAAGCTAATGGACGGGTCTGGATATGTCTACAAAAAAGAAAACCCTGCAATAATAAGGTTTCCCTCATTTAATGCGGATTTAAGTAGAGAAAATTATTTTCGAGCACTCGTAATGTTATACATGCCTTGGAAAAATGAAAAGGATGATATCTTGGATAATGACAATGAAGCAACTTGCAGAGTTCATAAGAATATTATTGAAAGAAACAGATCAGTTTTTGAAAAATATAAAGAAGGTGACCTCGAAGAAATACTTCAACAAATACAGGATGATAATAGAATGGAAAATGAAAACCAGCATGACAATAGAGCTGTAACTCAACTACTCGATGATGAATTCAGAGCTTTGGCTGTTCCAGAAGTAGATGACAATATAAACATTATTGACACTAATGATGATTATATTAACACTGATGAGAACAACGATGGCATTAGATTGATCAGACTATAACCTTTAATAAGTACTGAAAGTCTATTGTCTTCGGTAAGGACTTTAAATACGAAGCAACTTAAATACCTGCATCATATTTTACAAAATGTTGTAGGAAAACGTGAAGTTTTGTGAGTATGTAGGAGGAGGTGCCAGAGTTGGAAAGAGTCGATTAACAAAAACGATTTACCAATCTATTACTTATAGATATAATTCCATTCCTGGATCCAATCCTGATTTACCCAAAGTCCTGTTAAGTGCTCCTACTGGGAAAGCTGCTTTTGGAATTGGTGGAGCGACTCTTCATTCACTCTTTTCATTACCAGTCAATCAGTACTCAGGATAAATTCGTCCTCTTAGTAATGATACAGTTAACACACTTTCATCGTTACTCTTAGAGTTGAAATTATTGATAATTGATGAAATTTCAATGGTTGGAGCAAGAATGTTGGGTTACCTTGATGCTCGATTAAAGCAAATTTTTAAGAGTACTGAGCGTTTTGGTGGAATTTCCATTTTAGTTTTTGGGGATTTAAAACAATTACCTCCTGTTGGCGATAAATGGATATTTAGCCCCAACTCATCAAATCCTTATGAAGTTATTGTAGGAGATCTACTTTGGAACCAATTTAAGTTTTATGAACTGACTGAAATTACGAGACAAAGGGAAGATCGGGAGTCTGCCCAAGCATTAAACTCAATGTTAAAAGGTGAAATGAATAATGAAGAAGTACAATTAATAAAATCAAGGGTCGTTGATTCTAATTTCAATTTTTCGAATGAAGCAATTCATTTATTTTGGTCAAATGCCGAGGCTGATCAATACAATGAATTAAAATTCAAAAATGGAGTTAGAAAGATTACAGTTAGAACGCTCACTTACACTCCAGCATAATTTTGTACATAATGATGAATATAATCTAAAATTATTTTATCAAAATATTCAGAGCATTAATGCGCACCATAAGGATATATCTACTGATCCCACAATAATGGAAGAAGATATTTTATGTCTAGTAGAAACATGGGCCTTTCCGGAAGAAATTCAAGCAATCTAATTGCTAAGCTAATTAGATTGTTTCAATGCTGAAGACGAAGAAAGATCCAGAAACAAAAGGGGAATATCAGTTTATGTTAAAACTGGAAAAATATCGGATGTAAACTAATTATTTAAATATGATCATGTTCTGGGATATTCATTTCAATATATTGCTTTCCGATATCAAAACGTTTATATAATTACATTATATAGGAGCCCCTCGTTTGCCGAAGGCCTCTTTAGATTATTCTTAAAGCAAGCTATCGATCAATTGAAGACACACATTAGATCAGAAATTGACAAAATCCTTATTATAGGCGATTTTAATAAATGTCGCA